AATACTTTTATTCGCCTGACGTTTCAACATCCGTCGCGGATTCATCATCAGACACATAAGCAGAAAACGGTAGCAGAAACGAGCCAGTAATATCGTCACTGCTCTATCCCGCAAGGGTGCGTGAGCACTCGAGACACTTGACCTGAACTCTGGGGTCTGTCGAACCAAAACTGGTGCTAGCTGCAGTAAGTACAAGTAACCGCAACCACTTTTTGTGAGCCTGGACTGCTGTTATTGGCTGCTGCTGCTGCTGTTGCTGCAGCAGCAGACCAGATTTCTTTTTTTAAGCACAATGTGTGGCCCAACTCAGAATAATATTGATAATTATCGGGGTATATTATAAAAGTAGGCATGTTCTGTTTCGATTCGGCCCTGCCGCGTCGGTTTCTGTTATGGGGGTTAATTTAGGTGGCATCACGGGTCGTCTATACCCTTGAAACACACGTTTTCTTTATCGGTTTATGGGTTTTCCAGTCATTGGTGTTTTGGCAATATAGTCTTTCACCCCGTAAGATACCAGGTTTATTTAAGGGCACTTTGGCGCGAGCCCAGGATAGGAGCGGTGTGATCGCGTGCCAGTAAAGATACCGGTGCTCATTTCCCCTCACAAACACTGAACTCCATCTCACAGCTCTCGTCATCACAGTTCGTACCGTTTCTTCTCGCTCTCACTCAGTACCCCACCCCTGCAGTTCTCCACAGCGCTGCGTTCCCCACCGGTAATCCAACGCCCACGAGAGAACCCCCCCCCACATTGCACTCTTGTATATGCAGCTGACGACAGCTCATAAGCCAGAAATGGGCACCTTAGTCTCTCTTGTCTTTGTCTGTCAAGTCCTTCTATCTATAACAGTAGCCACCTTGCCGCCTGTCTCGAGAGTGAGGTCGTAAGGCACCATGGACAGACGAGTGTGTCTTCTAACTGATCGGTGCACGCCTATCTGCCTCTATTTACATATTATGCATTTATACGTCTGTCATTAGTAGATTAGTTTCCGCAATTTTTTCCATCTTTTCTCATGTCATTGGCAAGCGTGTGTTTGGTGTAGTGTTTATCAGACCTCTTCAGAGCTCGCACTGACGGAAACGCCTTCGGGTCTCTTGCACGTTCATGTGTGTGCCAACCTCAACGTCTGCAGCCACTACAACCCTTCGTATGCTGGCGTTGTTTAGTCACATATTTTTAAATTTTCAGGATGGTTCCCAAGGTCAACAAACTATTTAAACATTTTTTCCCAAAAATACAAACTCTTTTCCGCCATGTAGCCCCATCCTTTTCATTCTTATTCCCATCGGTCCCGTACTACAGCCAGACCTGGTTTTTGTTTCCTGGGTTGGGTGTTTTTGCCAGAGCTTATTCTGCCTCCTTGCTTCCACTCAAACAGATGGAGCTGGCCAACATGCACCGCTTTATCTGCGCCGCCACCATCTACGTGTTGCGCGCCTTCCAGCACGAGGTTGGCATCGATCTGAACGCGTTGGAACAGAGCCCCGCGCCGGGAGTGTCCTTCACGCC